CTTGGATTGCAAAGCTGTTGAAGCCGATGGCCTGTCAGCGGAATGCGGCGCTGCAGCGGGCAGAATGTGGGGAAAAACCATGCACTGGCACCAACTCGGCAAGCACCGTAGCAGTACGGGCCAGGGAGGATGTGCACAATGAGGCAGCAAAGCAGCAGCAAGGGCAGTCGTGGTGTGGCGATGGCGAGGCATCCCCCACAGCAGCAGAGAGCGTGGACCGCACAGGTGCGACATAGCACATGACGCGGCAGAGTTATCGTCGGCCCCCGGCACACCACGCAAACGAGACGGCGGCGGAAGAGCCCAGTCCTCGCGCCAAGACAGCAGGGTGAGAGAGGCAACTCCAATCTCTGTCCGTCTGGTGGCCGAGGCCAGCGAAAAGAAGCAGCGCAGCGGCACGCATGCGGGTGGAGTCGCGGCCAGCGGAGCCTGGCTGGCAGGCGCAGGCCAGGGCCAAAGGGGGGGGGCCACGCACGTGTGGCGCGCGCTTCGGGTGCGCCAAGCATCCCAGCTGGGCACACGCGGACCAATGGCCCTACCCCCACAGTGTTCGCTGTCCGAAACCAGATGGGTCAAAGGAGGGCGGGACGTCTGGCCGTCAAGGAGCGGCGCGGCCGGCAGAGAGCAGGGCGGGGCGGCAGAAACCTGGCCGTCGAGGGGCGGCGCGGCCGCAAAGAGCGAGCGGGTGGCAGGGAAAACGAGGGAACGCTTCTGACGCGTCTCAACCGCACTAACCTAAAACCTCCTCTTCCCGTCCCTGGATGTCGCAACGATCTACTGTGAACTGGGAGTGTCGTGGGTCGATCCACTATGGGCGACCACCCGCATAACTAGCAGGGCTCGCAAGATGTTAGCGCACCCTGATGCGTCATACTTATGAGTGTCACGGTGCATCAAACCTTACGCTCGCCTGCGACCTGTCACGTAGTGTGTTGAGTGTCACGTGGTCTCGGCATGCCACTGTCTTATGTCATGCTTGGCTGAGGGACAAAACGCCTGGTCCTGCTGGCATCGACACGCACGCGCCTTCTGCGCTCGAACGAGCAGCCCGTCGCCGAAATCGGGGTCGGCCGCCCAGGGAGCAACGGAACGAATCTGTCGCGCGCGCACGTATCTCATCGGCAAGCGGGACCAGCAGAGGAGGCGGGGGAACTGAGGCAGGAGACAGAGGGAGGGGGGGATCCGAAGATGCTAGAGAGTCTGCGTACAATTCATCTGCGTCTGGAGGTCCGCCGGGCCCCAGGGTGGCTGTCGGATCCAGAGCAACGCCCCAGGAATACTGCTCGGCTAGTGTGGGGGCCCCAAAACGCCCCATCTCTGGATCAGACGTCTGCCTCCGACCGGCATCGGCTGACTGGTTACAGTCTGGAGCCCAACGGTACGTAGGGGCCCCGGTCCACATAAAACGCAACAAGAGACTTCTGGCGCCCCCCTCCCCCTCACGCACGTCTAAAGGCAGCTCCGTCGTCGCACGCGTCGCATACACAACGCAGGGGCACATGTGTTCTTCTCTGCTCTGCACCACTCGTCACGCCCACGATCCAACCCTGCGAAAATATCGCGAACGCCCCGTCCGCGTCAACATCTACATCGTCCAGCTGTCTCCAACAGCCTGCCGCCCAGCGTACCCCTTGTAAGTGCCAGCAACCGCGTGGGCGCTCGTGCAACTTGCCCACGCCCGCACTGACCCAAGTCGGGCACGGACGTCGCTGGCGCCAAACAGCAGTACCAATTCGTAACTGCTCCACCTGCCGCGGAGCAACCGCAAGTCTCTAAAAAAACCATGTGACCTGAGTGGCGGAAGCACTCTGCGTTTCGCCCATCGCGTGGCAAACCATGTCTCACGTGGCGGCCCTCCTCCTGCCAGTACCACGCATTTGGCCCATATGCGATCCATTCGTGCGTCGGGCACGATGCGACGCATCATGCTACCGAGTGCCAGGTCGACGGCGGCGTCGATTGACAGCACGACGATGGCAAGTATCTGAGGTAGCGTGACTACTCAACACGTGCTTGGATGTCTCCTGGCCTGCGCCTGGCACCGTTGAGGTTAAGATCATGATATTCTGCGCGTCGCATGATCACAGATGGCGGGGTGGCCGCCATGTCAGCGCAACACGTGGTCTGGAACACACGTGATGGACACCGTTCGTGCTGAAGAGGCGGGCATGGGTTGCCTGCGTCGTCGATCCGCGCCCGAAGGTTGTGACAAGTTCGATAATACCCCTGCTGACGCAGGGGCCCGTCGCGCGTCATCCTGCGACATCGTAGCGAGGATCTGCGTGGCCAGCTCAGTGAGTGGACCTAGCGCCTTGGGCGCAGGTACTACGACATGCCTGCGTGGCATGGGCAGCTTGTCCGCGCCCTTGGGACGACCCTGGCTGCGGGGCGAAAGTGCAAGGTGGTGGGCGGTCTCGCCGGTGGCAAGTACTGCGGAGAGTAGGCAGCGCAGGGCGCCCAGTGACAGGCGGTTAAAAAGGTGAGCTCGCGCGTGGAAATCACACAAACACGCAATGCACTGCCCGTTGGCCCCAGCATAGCTGGCGACGTCTGAACGACAAATGTACGCGCAGTAAACGATGGCGCGGGAAAAAAGCCATGCACCACGGACATACATGCTCGGTTTTCGGCGTAGGCGCGGGCGGTGCATGCACGTCCAGGCCATGGTCGTCACTATATATGCGCGCTGGTACTCCTGTCGCACGCACGTCGTGAAAGAAACTGGCCTCGACCAGCGCCTCCCAAGTATCACGCGAGGACTGCTGAGCAGCTCCACGCACGCCTGTCGGGATCAGGTGTTCCCACGCCGACTGGCTGCGCCACGCGAGGGGCTCCCGCGGGGCAAAATGGTCGCGCGGCGACGGTAAGTCTGCGCACGCCTTAGTAGCATTGCGCGGCCAAGCCGAATCGTCGAGCAGCATGCCTGGCATCGCCCTGCGTCGAGCATCCTCACCAGCGGCCCCACGCCACTCTGCAGCAAGTAAGGCAAAGGCAATATGGGCACGGCGTGGTAGTGGGGGCCAAAAGCCAGAGCCTGGCAGCGCGTAGAGCCTCTGACGGGAGTGGGCGTCGGAACCGCGCCAGTCCGAGAGCGCCCGAGGCTTGCGAGCCTCGTTCCTGGAATCGCACCCGCGCGGCAGCCCAGCACGCCCCCATCACTTTTGCATGCACTCACTGACGTTCACCTCGCGCCAAGCATAGCCACGCACCTGCATTGCAAAATCGCCCTCACAATACTGTCCGTCAATATCAACCTGCCCCGTTAATCGAGCTCGCCCGTCGCAAGCACGCGACCCCAATACTTGCAGCGACGAGACGGCGGTCGAAGCTCTGCGTCGAATCTCCGGCGTCGTTGGCCGAATCTAAGTGTGGAAGCCAAATCTGGGCGTCGAAATCGTCGAAGGCCGAATCTGGGTGCGCGTAGCTGGGCACGACGGGCGCGCTCAAATGCCAGGAGGTAGTAGACGCGCTGTGAATGCCTCCACTATGCGCGCGCCATGCGTCATGCCGCGCGCCCCCCTTGCCCGCCCCTCTCCACGCGACGAGCGCCGCAGCCCCCGTCGGTCCGACGTTAAGCAGGCGCCCCCCGGCCACAGACACATCCGCTACCAATGCCACTATGCCACTCGGAGCCGGGTAGATGAAGAGCGCGGGCATCACGAGGAGAGGGGGATAGCACCGCCATCTGCAAACGCCACGTCGACCAGCGGTTTCATAACATCATCGCAAAGATTGCCAGCCTGCCTCTTCCCTCAGAGGCGGACTGCGAATTCGCGCGAAGCGCAGGCGGCGAGACGAATGGCCGCACCTTCGGCATTGAGGGTCGAGCGCACTTCGTTCGGACAACCGGCCATCTGTAGATCGCAAAGAACGCACGCTGGCGGTCGCCGCGGAGATGACAACCTTTACGGGAGCCACACCTGGCCAAAACCCTCATACGCGAA